AAAGTGATAATAGGGGGTTGTAGCAAACAGGAGACAAATGAGGCAAGTTTTGCAATTCATAGTTTACCTTAGAAGACAGCAAGACTTCACCAATCGTCATCCACTCATTTGTTTGTAGCCAGTGAAAAGGTTTCGATTCAAAGGAAATGAAACGACAAAATGACAAGCCATTCCAAAGCCTCGCAAGTTGAGGCAAGAACTTGTTGTAGATGAGATTACCACGGCGTAATTGCTCTGCCTTTTGTCAACCAATGGAAATGTATCAGTGTTTGTGAAACCATTTCACCGTAAAAGTACAAAGCAAATACGAAGTTTATGAAGAAGGTGTTTGGTTAGGACGATAACTCGGAAACGTGTACAGTGGAGGGGGTGGAAATAAACGCAAAGGTTATCAAAGTAAGTAATTGAGGAAGAGTGAGAACAATTCCCTACATCGTGTTGTTTTCCACGAACACTCCAACTGAGTCTATTTGACCACAGCCGTTATGTTTAGATATAATATAGTGAATTTTAATGCAACAGCTGTGTAGGATGCAAAACTAAGCACTCTGCCACACCATTATACGGGAAATGACTCGACTTCAGGACATTTGTGAGCCCAACAACTCTTCCGATGCTACTGAAGTAGCCTCTAGTTGTACATGCGAAACACTTTGTCCTCAACGTCATTGTAAGGTAAACACAGACTGAAGATAATTAAATGGATTGAATCGCTCATTCGGCGAGACGTTAAGTGTCAATGGGAAGAATATTCTCGTTTTCAAACTTTCATTGCTTTACGTGATGGAAGTCGTAGTTGAGACTTAAGGCACGATTCTGAAGAAGGGGTAAAGACCAGGACGCCTATGGTAGGGAAGGGAATGGAGAAAAGCGCACACAAGCACACTTGAAGCGTGGAAGATGAATGCTCGAATCCATACGTCTGCCCGTAATGTGCTGCTCCTTGTGCAATATAAAATGCTCCTTAACATACTTTATTCGTTAAAATAATCATCTTAAAGATCTTAAATCCATATATACACCCCATCAAGACAGGCTTGCCAACTCGACTTCTGTGGAATGGGTTTAATTATTCCTCAAGTTGAAAGGAGCAGGTGTTATAAACTTGGAGAGATTTGAGGGTAATAATTGGATGGGGTGGGCCGCTCTCATCCTCTTTATCCCAAGGGAAACATCTTGCGGGTCAGTTGGAAGGCGGCATTGGACCCTGCGTTGTGTTGCACTGGACGAACCAATGCGCGCATGTACACGGGTTTCACAAATGTTTATGTTGATTGAAGCTGCGATAGTACGTGAACCTGTATAAAGTTAAATGTACCTTATTTTTTATAAATAAATGAGCAAATGGCTATTTAATGTGAATGTGTGGTAATACAACAGTGTTCGAGACATACGCATTGGAGGGGAAACGATTGAATGCTG